AAACGCCCAGTAGTAGCAGCGTCGCAGGTGGGGTCAGTCCATCCCTCTCAGGAACAACCCGACTGATTGCGACGCTCCCAACGGTACGCAGCCACGCCCATCCCATCTCACGGATATGAAAAGTACTACTTGATCCATCTGGTACGATATGGTGTGCACGAGGGCAACGGGGAGAAGCGTGCACACGTCAATCTATGCTTTCAGACCCCTGCCTGATTTAGTCATATTCTTTATTCTGTTCCCCATTCTGCCAGAAAATCGCTTCAATAACAAAGTATTACAGTAATAACATGTATTATAGATAATTATGCAGAGTGCAAACAGAAAAACAGTGCCCACTTTTATTGACGTCGCAATTTCCATTGTATTGGCAGATAAACGTTTGTTCGCTTACTATCGTCCTTCGGAAGAACGTTTTGCTGAAACGAAAATGATTTTATAAGTGTTAATCAAGTAAGCGATTACCATTTAAGCCGATCATCCTAGGGTTTCAGGAACCCTGATCTTTGTTTCAGTACTAGTCACTACAGCTCTACTGCCCGTACACACTGACGTCAGAGCGCTGGTCGTTATTGCATGAGGGCTTCCGGACGGCGTTCTCCCCTCAACACACACATCACTCTCACTCTCGCCCCTTCATGGTATCCCACAAAAAGAAAAACAATCGATAAAATAAAAAACTCTGCGTCAAAATGAAAAGGCGCTCAGGCCCTCCTGCCATAGGGGAGCTTTTCTGCCTCGCAATCAAAACTTCCTCTGGTACGTACCTCCTTTCCCTTCTCCCATCCTACCAACCACCTATCGTCTTCCTAAACTTTCCCAACTTTCTACTACTCTTCCAGAGCTTTCCAAGTTTTTCCCCTTGAAAAGGCCGTCTAGCGGGGAATATATAGCAGCTTAAAACGGTAAAAACCGGGAAAAGTTAACTACCAAGAACATTTTCTCGTGAGCAATTATGCCACCCCCCCCCCTGCCTGGGATGTCCATCGCACGACTTGCCCTGAACGCGCTCGCGACGTAATCTGTACATTCATCGATGAAAGTCCACTTAATAAGATGAAATCTAGGCGAACCAATATACGACGTAGAAATGCTGAAGGAAGAACGCACATTGCCCGGGGCTGAATAACTCTCGAACAGCGCCGCGCTTTCCTTATTAGGAGCAGCCAGGTGTGAATTAAATTTAATAGACGACCCGTTCATTGGCATAGCGGTTGACCTTGTGCGGTCCGCACTTTCCATTTGTTCTCTGTCTTAAGCATTGGCTGTCCAGTTCACGGAGACCTGATCATAAACATTGCTACGATTCTGCCCAGTCTGCCAAGGAGACGGCTCAACGTAAAGACGAGCAACCCAGCGGTCACTTTTTGTCATGCACGTACCATAGCCAGAGCACGCCATGGCGCTGGGGGATTTTCGCTTAATATGACTCCCAGGTATCCTTCTCCGGTACGACACCCTTCCACAACTGCTCGATCATTTTGCCCAACTTTCCCAAAGATTGTCGAGCAGGTGGGGGGAACACCTTCGCGCAAACATCAGAAATAGTAAGTCTGCCCGGAACGCATAATCCCCAGTAACCTCACTACAAGCCTTGTGAAGTGAAGGCGGCCTTTCCAGCTTTGCAGAGTTCTGCTTGTTTTCTCTCCTCCCCTCCCCCCTAACCACATCTCCCCGCCTTAGAGGCCTTATCCGTTGAGGCCTTATCCCTAGATGAAACCTTGGAACCTTGCCAGTCGATCGATAAGTTCGATCGAATCGTAAGTTTAAATTCCATTCATAA